GTGAACCTGTGCTGCCACACAGCTTAGAAGGACCACTAGGGGACAGTACTAGGAAAAAAGTAGACTAACATGAATAGACTGTTATGGCAAAATGTATAACTATATCCAAAGCAAATCTATGATTTTAATTCAGATTCAATAATTTCAGTAAGCCGACTAGATGTGCCTTCAGATGAGAGGAATTAGTACTATTTTTGTCTACTATATATTTGAGAGAGTTTGTCTGTACATCTCTTTGTTCAAGAACTCCTCCTAAATGGCAAGAGCTAGGTCCACCAAATTTGGTATTCAGCTACCTGTGAATGAGTAACTGGGTAACGGTTAACTGGCACCTGGGAGCAACCTTCCACTCCTTGTGGGGATGCTCCACCCCCACCAGGCCCATGTGGGGCCAGCTAAGCAGGTGGCAGCCCTATGTGGGGCTGCTGGGGCTGGAGCAGGCGGCAACTGGGATATGGGGAAGTAGTGGCAGGGGCCGGTGCTAGGGGGTGGTATGAGCCACACAGGCTGGGGGCGGCTCCAGCTGGACTGGAGCAGTCCCCCCAACAGCCCTAGTAACAAATTAGTTGTGTCAGGAAAATTAGATGTCCCTGAAATAGAGAGGTGTTGTTCTCACCTTGCCTCATGCTGAAGGGAGAGAGGGCAGGAGTAGTCCTCTTTCCCCAGAGCAGCCTACATACTGAACCCCTTATCCCCAGCCTCACACGAGTGCAATGATTTAAATGAAGAATGTTCATTTTATTTTCCAAAACAAAACAAAAAAAATTAACTGAGTTAAACAAAATCAAATGTGGAAAATAAATGCAGTTTATTCCATGACTATTTGGTAGTTAAGATTAAATGTGGTTTGGAATATTACATGTACTATATAATTTTCCCTATGATCTGTTTTAACTGCTACTATAACAATGTACACAAATTCTCTATTCAGAAATGCCACCTAGGATTTGTTTTCCTTTACAGAGGGTACATTTTGGGGTCTGTAATCAATTGGCAATGCCCCTTTTAACTACGAGAAGGGAAACAGAAATAATTTATCGTGAGAGGGAGAAATACAAACTAGGGAATGCCATCGGAAACTCAAACAACAGTCATTCTTACTCTCCATTTCATTACATCCACTCTTACAGAAAACCAAGTTAAGCTCTATTCAAGCAATAAAGTAGCTGAAAGTAAATGTGCAAACATACAATGCTGTCTAAAATTAGAAGGTACTACATGTCATATATCAAGAGAAAGGCTCTAATGCTGGTACTGATGGTTCTTTTGATTCCTTAGAAAATTAATTTAGAGACTTTGCACACATAGTTAAGAGCATCTATTGCAGGGGTGGGCAATAATTTTTGATGGGGGGGCCACTCCAGGATTTTGGAAAGTGGTCAAGGGCTGGACTCTTCCATGATATTAATGGAAGGGGGTGGAGGGTGGAGGTTGGGTACAGAAGGGAGTTTGGGGTACAGGACTGGGGTGCAGGAGGGAGTCTGAGTGAAGGAGGCAGTTATGACCTGGGGCAAAGGAAGAGGGTGCAGGAGTTTGGGTTGTGACCTAGGGCAGAAAGGAACTGTGATTTGGACAGAGGATTGGAGTGTAGGAGGGAGTATGGGTTCAGGAGGGGGGCAGAGGGTTTGGATTATGTGGGTTAGAGGGCAGTAGTGGGGGAGGGGGAATGGGTGAAAAGGTTGTGGTTCCAGAGTTAGGCTCTGACCAGGTGAATTACCTGGATGATTCCCAGCCAGTAGCCCAGCACATTTCTCCCTGCCTGTCAGTCTCCCTGCCTGCCCCACCTGTAGTCATGCATGTTTGCGAATTAGAGCCTGAGGCGCGGAGGCAGTAGGGACGTAAGTGACTAGTTGAGCAGTCAACTACCCAAAAAGCCTAGGCAATGTCACTACTAGATTCCCCCCTGTGGGAGCTGGTGCTGAAAATATGTGAAAGGCTCTGCATTTTACTCATTTTAGTAACTCATATCCAGGAAATGAAACAAATTGAGTTATGAGATTCTAGGCTGGATGTTTATAAATTTAATTCAGCATTAATGTGAAAGTTGAAAACATTATTAAGGAGAGAAAACCAACACCTGAAAGCAAGCTTGATAATTACCACAGCCTGCAGCTCCTAGTCCCTTCTAGAAGATTTTGTGGCCAGGAGAAAGAGATTTGAGGGACACAAATTAAATTAATGTATTTTTTAGTACTTAAAGTGAAATTTCAATATGACAGAAAATCCCAGGAGGTGGCTGGGATTAACCATTCCCAAACATAGGGGATTAGTACACAATACCACTCCAAATAAATCTATGTGAAATGGAAGGCATTACTACACTCTGACCATATAGGATGGAAGGGAGAGATCTATAAACTCATGGTTTCCAGCTCCCATTGACAGTTTAGAAATAAAGATATCAAATATCCACAGATCAAAATTTACCAGCAATAAAATCCCAAAAGTAAGCTTTGTCCTCAATTCACACGTATAGAGACAGGTTAATAAAGCTTTCCTGCTGCATTTCAGTCTTCCCATGCATGTTAAAATCAGAGCCTTAACATCAGCTGGATGAATTTGAGAAGTCTTTTTATATAAGTTTTTAAAGAAATAACACACTCTTGGGCCATGTCTACATTAGAAAAGTATTCTGAAATTACTAGATTTGACTTAACTCCCGATTTAACAAATTCGAACTAGCGTATCAACACTACAGGGAAGCGTCAAAATTAGTCCGAGGCAAACCCCATTAATGTGGACACACTACTTTGGATTTAAAGAGCCCCTAGAAGCACCGGGGAGTAAATAGCTCGAATTACTCTGGGGAGCATCCACACTACCATTATTTCAAAATAATTATTTAAAAATTAGTGTTCCTCCTGGTGAAAAGTAGGAGTACAGATTTCTAACTCCGCAGACTATTATTTCAAAATAATGGGCTTGGTAGTGCACAAGTTCTGCTTATAAATTTGACATTCGGAGGGTTATTTTGAAATAAAGTCCTAGAATGCAGACCAGGGCTTGGAGTGTCAGCATAGTAATCTAGATTCTCAAATATATTTTAAGATGTTATATTATATTGTTTAAATGTATGTTTTGGAAACATACATCCTGGGAAAATGAGTTACCTAAATTTAAACATTGAAAGTATATAAACATAACTCTTTTTGACCAGACAATATAAGAGACACTTCATTAAGGCCCTGAAACCAAGTAACTGCTCCAGCAGATCCCTGAACCCAGGAAGCTCCAATGAAATTAATGAGGATCTGCTCCAGGACAAGGTTAGACCCACATGCAATCTACTGCAGAACTGGAGCTTAATTTATATAAATGCTTAGTACTGAGTGATTATAATCTAAACACAAATGTGTTTAGCATCACTTCCAATGCTCCCTAAAAAGCAGAATACTAAAGACATTTCTATAATTATGATCATTTGAGGAGTGAAGATAAGCAAAAGGTCTTGGAAGAAAGATCCCAGTCTCAGTATAATCTTTCTAAATGCATACAGCTCACCCCACAGTATGTTATATTTTCTAGCACCGGGCATTAATCCTTCTATTATACCACATCATACAGTGAAACAAGAATTACATTATTCTTTGAAATAAACCCTGAAGATATTTTGCAGTGCACTATGCTGATAGAGGTTGAGAAAATGTGCAATTATGTTTTTTTATCCTTATGTCAAAGGCTCTCTTGCTCTATTTAGGCTGTTGATACAAACTCAATTTGTAAAAGATTTAATTAAGGACAATGTGAAAAAGTCTTCTAATCTACTACTTCCTAAAAACAACAGGACAAATTAGAAGCTTACTGTAGCTCAGTACAGGCAGCTCATATATATTTTCAGGATATTCATTATCTCCCTTTCCCATGCTCCCCAAAAAACTAGAGAAGTTCAAAAAAGTATTTTATCACACCTAGTTAACAGGTTTCGCCTGCAGCACACTAATGCAGTGGTTCCCAATTGCTGGTCTGCGGACAGGTGCCAAGACACGGCACACTGCCAGGCTGTGCCCTGGCTGGCTGGGGGTGCACCCTGGGCATGTGGCTGGCGGCTGCCGAGCTGAAGCTGGCTGTTCATAGCGGCTCTGGGGGCCAGGACTGGGGTATATATTTTGGCGGACTGGTAACATTTTATTTGCATATTTATTATTTGCATAACAAATATGCAAATATACAAATAAAATGTTACCAGTCCGCCAAAATATATACCCCAGTCCTGGCCCCCAGAGCCGCTATGAAAGCATGCAAAGAAGGAGGAACATCAAAAGCATACGAACACTGCATAATGTTTAAATCATGCTAAAGCATGATTAAGACATCTAGGTGGTTTAAATTATTGCATCTGCTCTTGCAACCAGAACTGCAGATTCACAGAAGGACAGAAACAGGATTTCAAAGGGGCTCTTCCTCCCTCCCTCAGTTCAGACATGAATGGAGAAAATGAGAAGCAACCTGCCATTATAAAATATTACAACACTTGACCAAAAAAATGCAAAAAAACTGCAAGATCACTGCCCACTTAAAGAGCAGAGCTGCACAAGTCCTTTCCTATATAATACAACTAAATCCAGTTTCAAAATGGAAGTTATTTGTTTAAACTATTTTATATCCAGAGTCATAATTACTCAATATAGCAACCTCAGCAATAAACTCTCCGTTCTCAAAACATTTCCCACCCTACTAAAACATATCAACATTAAAAAAAAGAATGATGGTGCCTGAAAATTCCAAACTATAGCAATATCATGCCTAAGAACCTTAATCCTAGGAGCTAACAAAATATTTTGATTTCCCTCCTCAAAGAGTTAGTTGAAAACCACACATACTATTTAACTAGCCACTTTTAAAATCTATGAACTTCAGCGTGAGTGATATTAGGCAACAGCCATAACATGTAACTGAACAATACACAGCATGTAGCATTACTCAATATTGACACACATCTTACTGCTCAGTTATCACAAAAATATTACTTTAATAGCCTGGCATGGTCATTCTCTACTCACCTGCTCACTGTAGAGAACCTGGACATTTTTGATAATACGACAGTGTTTCTGAAGAATTGCTACCGTTAAATAAATACATAACATAATCCTTTCATATGTCCACACAGACAATAAACTGTGCCAACAAGTTAAAAGTGAGGTAAAACTGGCTCATCACCTAAAATAAGTTGCAACAAAAGGATCTGCAAACAACAACAAAAGCCTACTTCATTTGTATATCCTTTGGTATATATGGTTGTGACTATTTTCTTCCACTATTTGATCTGAGGAAGTGGGTCTGGCCCACGAAAGCTCATCACCTAATAAACCATCTTGTTAAGTCTTTAAAGTGCTACATAGTCCTGTATTTTGTTTCAGCTACACCAGACTAACACGGCTACATTTCTCTCACTATACTTCATTTGTGACATCAGAACTATCTCTGGAACAGAAAGGTCTGTGCTTATCCCTCAAGCACTACACTATGCACATACACACTTTTCTTACATGCAGTCAGTAGTTTTTTAATTGCGTCACCTACATTGGTGGATTTAATTTTCCAATAATGTGTCAAAGGGCCAATCCAAAGCCCATTATATACCATTTCTAGCAGATGTACCCAGCATTGCTCAGGTCTTTAACTTAAGTTTTTTTGTTTTATTTTGTTTAAATAAATGAAAAATGTACATGCTTTATTCAATGGCTGTATTTTTCAAAAATGAAGGAAAATGAAGGCTAGAGAGTTCAGGGTGAAAAGGAACAGAGAGTGGGTGGTGTGGGGCAGAGGGTTGGGAAGTGTAGGGGAGCTCAGGGCAGAGGGAAGGATACAGAAGTCAAGACACCCCCCTATCCACCACAGGTTCTCATTTTCGGTCACGGTCCACATGGTTAGAACACTGTGAACATTCAGATGTAAACATCTGAAATTATTAAATTGACCAATTTGAAAAACCTCTGGCCGTGAAATTGCCCAGAATGTATGGTGAATTTGGTAGGGCCCTACTATTTATACATCACACACTCATGTGACAGAGTTCTGTTTACATCAGGAATTATAACTACAAATTTCCTGTGGGTGTTGTGTGTACATAATCTCAATGTTGAGGTGGCATTAGAAGATTTGTTTACATTTTTTAATGGGAAGGTTAAAGAGAATTTTATTTCTCTGTGTTTGTTTTTGTAAAGGAAATAAAAACAATGAATGCTCATACACTGAAATAAATCTGTGCAGCGTAGTATCTATTTTGAAGTATTTTATTGAACTTTAGATAATACACAAACAAACACAAAAGCTGTACAGGGCTGGACCAGCAGTGAGCTAGCTATAGAAACATATTATTAGTATAGCAAGAGTACTGATATCTGAAAAGGGGAGCTCCATCTAGGGGAGTCTTAAGTCAGAATACTTAAGACATAAATAATTGGAAGGCGACAGCACAATTCAAATCACTGCACACTGAAATATATACAAAAGTTTATTTCTGTATTCTTATGTATACAATACTCGAACCACCCTGAACTGTGTGCAAATGCATAAATACTCCTACATTTATTTCAGTAATTATATGGATACACAAATATTGGGTTAATCATATCAGTCATACAATCAGTTTACTGAATAAACTGCTAATTTTCAGATGTAGAAATTTGAGCCTTACAAACTGAAAGCTAATTTTATGTCCAATATTTGAGTTTTTCATGAAATATTCTTACACATACATTAATATTCTCAGCATTAAATAAAAGTTTACATTACTTCACCTTTTTAAAATAACCACCACAAACAAGAGACCTAAAATGTCTTGAGAAATCTTTAGTCATTTTAGAAATCTTTAGTCATCTTTAGTCATTTTAGAAGCATTACAGAAACCTCTGGCCATTATTACTCTTTAGAAACAAAGCACAGAAAAATGTGATGGCAAGGTAAATGTGAAGCACTTACCCAAGTTGAATTCCCATTGTTCATTCCCAAGAGATCGCTCGGGAACCACTTCCAGATCTAGCATTGGCGTATTGGACCAGTAGTCACACAGTGAAACACAGTGTTACTGCAGCTGGACCTGTGCTGGAGCAAGACAAAACCACCTAATGTACAATCCTCATCAGACTCTCATCTGAACACTAAACAACATGCAATTATTCCATTCCCGCCTCCAAATTCTGATGGAGAAATAATGGCTCATGATTGGTTTTGTGTCTTCTTATGTGATCTTTTTTTATTCCCTCCCTTGTTATCACCAGACCCCCAAGCAAGCCTACCTAGCACCTGGTCTAGGGATGTTAACTATTGGTTATTTTACTAGTCAATAGGCACTTTCGCATTCCTCCTTTGAAATGTACAAGAGACCCCTCACGCTCTTGTACATTTCAAAGGCAGAATTTGGAACTCCATGTGCAGCCTGGGGCCAGTGGGAAGTGACTTTGGGCTGCCCGCAGTGTGCCAGCTTTGAAATGTATGAGAGTCCCCAGCAAAGGCTCTTGTGCATTTCAAAGCAGAAGCACAGCATGGAGCCTGGGATTAGCTGGGGACTTCCCAGCTGTTCCTAGGCTCTGCCAGCATTTCAGCAGAACTCGGGATCAGCTGGGGACTCCCCAGCCAACCCCAGGCTCCGTGTGGCACTACCCTTTGAATGCCACCTCAGCGTTGCTGCCCCTTTGAACCGGGGATCAGTTATACCACACTGCCCTTTGAATGCTGCCCCTGCATTTCAAAGTGGCAGCACTGCACAGCTGATCCCAGGATCAGCTGTGCAGCGTTGCTTTGAAGTACCTTCTTTTCTTCCCCCCTTTGATGCTTCTATCTGACAGAGCAAGGGGGAATCAACTAGTCGACTAACTATCTAATAAGCATTTGCTTATCAGATAGTCAACTAGTCCTTAACATCCTTAACCTGGTCCACACTTCAGGGCTGTGAAAAAAATTATGTCTTTGCGATGTGGTTAGGTCAACCCACCTCCCATGCAGATGCAGCTAGGTTGGAAGAAATATTCTGTCTACCCAGTTACTGCCTCTCAGGACAAGTCTACATTACAAAATTAAGTTGTCCTAAATTATAGCAATTTACAGCCACTGCAGTAATTGAATCAGTTTTACACATCCACACTATGCTTGTCAGTGGTAAACGTCTTTGCCAGAGACGCTTGCACCAATTTAACTGCCAGCATGGAGCATCATGAGGTGGTTACTGACAGGAAGCAATACCCTCAATAAGCAACAGTTTCTACACTGACCTAACTACATGAACTTAAGGACTACACTTCTTGTAGGGCTGTAGTTATTAAGTCAGTGCAGTATGTGAGTTATATTGGAAGAAGACACATTTTAGTATAGAGAATTAGTTCAAACAAATCTGCCTTACACTGACCTAGCTCTGTAGCGTAGAACATGTCTCCTAGAGACAGATTACCTGTATCCACTGAAAAACTCCTTCCATTGACAGGAAGCATCTGCACTGCAGCTATTTGGGGAACACAACGGCACTGTAGGGTACACATACCAGGTAAGCTGTTAACTAGCAGTCTGAGTAGGGGGTATTCCAGCCTGGCCAGGCCCACAGCCCTATGAGCCTGGCCAGGCTGAAGCAGCCCCCTGCCTACAGCGCATTCTGGTGAGGCCCAGCCAGAGCAGCCCCTCCCTACAGCGTGGCAGGCTCAACCCAGGCTGGCCAAAGCAGTCCACAGGGCAGCGGACTTGGCTGCATGGGAGCAACGCCCCGCAGCGCAGCATGGCAGACGAGGGTGGAGCAGCCTTCCTGTGACCAGTTGGGCCTCTCGCCCATAGGATCCCAGTTAACTGGTTAAGTTTAGGCTGTGTCTACACTGGCAAGATTCTGCGCAAAATCTTGCCGCCTGTCTACACTGGCTGCAAGTATTTGCGCAAGAACACTGTCTTTGTAATGTACAAAATCAGTGGTTCTTGCGCAAATACTCTGACGCTCCCGCTCAGGGATAGGCCAGTGTAGACAGCAAAGTTAATTTCTTGCACAAGAAAGCCCAATGGCTAAAATGGCCATCGGAGCTTTCTTGCGCAAGAGAGCATCTACACTGGCACGGATGCTTTTGCGCAAAGGCACATGCCAGTGTAGACACTCTCTTGTGCAAATACTTTTAACGGGAAAACTTTTCTGTTAAAAGTATTTGCGCAACATCATGCCGGTGCAGACGCAGCCCTAATGTTAAACCAGTTAACTTTTAAAACAAGATTTTACATTCCTAACATATACCCAGGGACTGAAAACTTTCGGGGAGAGGGCTGTGGGACAGTGTTTTTATTTCACTCGAGCGCTCTGCGTAGCTATGAAGTGACAGGTACTACAATGCTATTCATAAGGCACTGAAAGAGGAAAGCTGCGGGAAGAGCGATGGGGAAAGCTGGGCTGTCTCATCCCGTTGGGTTTTGCTGTAAGGACGAAAGGAAACCCAGGTCGGTGGCTTGGTCGCGCGCTGTCACCAAACCCCAGGGCTAGCGGAGGGCCAGGCTCCAGGTCTCCTCCCTTTTAAGGGGGCTCTGCTAATTCTCCTGTGCGCCCCCCC